GAATACGTAGTATGATCTTCCTAGTACTTATATAAAAATCATTTAAGACTAGTAAAAGTAATTATAATTTTTTTAATGACTTTCTTCTTCCTCTTCTTTTCTCTTTTCTTCTTTTCTTTCCCATCCTAAAGAGAAGGAAAACAATTAAAACCAAAAAATGGTTAGTCAGTAGATAGATATAGGATAATAATCTAATGAAAATGATAATGTTGCTATGATGATCAGATTTCGATTAAATTTTCATGCGTCTCTTGCATTACAGACGATACAAGCTATTTTTAGATAAACAAGCTTTTTTCTTCCTATTTTTAAAATGCTTATATGTAGAACCGTATGTTTTTCATTAGTCTCTCAAGACGATTGCAGCTCTCCTAATGGAAAATGAGTTTATGCGCATTGATATCGTAATTATTTCTTTGTAACAAAGAAATATTTTTAATCAAAAAAAAATAGAAAGTAGGAAAAAGATGGGGAAATAGAGTAGGAGAGAGAATAAAAGGACAGACTATTTACAGTCTATACTGCAAAAAGAACGAGAGACAGAGACAGAGAGGTAGGGGGGATGGTGAAGGGATAATAAGATAAGAGAAATAAGGAAAGTTTGAGGTAGGCGAAGGGGAAGAGAAAACCACTGAATATAAATTCAAAGGTAATCTTAATGTCATATCATTATATTCAAAGATTTGCGTTATTCGATTGAGAGAGAGAGAGAAATTGAATGCTCTTTTCGTATTTTTCTTCATTTTCTGGATAAAATTCTTTCGAAAGCTTTTCTAAATGGTGCATTCAACACATTAGAGTAGTTGTATGCAAACAAAATAAAGGAAAACATCGAGTTGATTCAATAAAATCGTTCATTAGCCATTCTAATCATATTAATAACCTTAGGGAAAAAATTTACGTTATTAATCATTCGACCTATAAATGAGGTTATAATTTACTGCTTACCTAAATGAAACTTATACGTTAACTATGGAAAGATGTAAGTAGGTTGAGTTTATAATGAGGATAAAAGCTATAAATAATTACCTAGATATATTTTCAAATGACATAAACAAGATATATTTATAAACATCATATCGTTGTTGGATGTCATTGCAATAAACAAAATTCATCATTAAACTTACAACCTTCCCAATAGGCTATTTCACAAACAGTAAACCCAGCGAGGAGGAGGTTATCTATGCAAATTTCTTCTTCATCGTTGTGCTTTTCTTTCTTTCTTTACCTGCAAAATGTTTATAAAGGTATATCTCTATTGTTTTGAAAAGAAATTGATTATGATATATGGGTGTGTGTCTATATATGATAGAAATGAAGAGAGAGAGAGAGAGAGAGAGAAGAGAAGGAATGCAAAATAAATAGTAGTGATAAAGAGGGATCTTTCTTTCTTGGCTGCTTATTATCGTTGTTCTATTCATAATGAACAAATGCTTGAATGGAATAAATGCATGAAAGAATAAATGAATGATCGATCCAATGATGTAGGGATTGTGTAGAGAAGAGAGGAATGAAAAACATATATACAGTATATACAATATATATTTTTCTGAAAAGACTACAACAGATAGATTCACTAAAAATATTATTAAATACAATAAACAATGACTAAATAATTCATAGGCGGCATGTTCTTGTATACTGTATACTGTATTTAATATGTTTAACATATTTATTTCATTGACGTTTAACATTTCTATTAAACTGTTTCAAAGGTATTTTACTAATTTTTTTCCAAGTATACAAGACTGCTTGGATCTTCACAATGCCGCAATTGCATTCATCCATCGTTACCTTAGCCTTCCTCTAACCCTCTTAAATAACTTAATATAACTTTCTTTTCGACTGTCTATATCGGTGTTAGCTTACTTATCAAGCTCGACTTTGAGCTATAAATATATAGGCTTACGGTATACTATACATTTTGTAATTGAAAATTCAACGATATTTAGCTTAGAATTACAGGTAAGAAAATACTTCAATATAATGTACATTATAGAGCTGGAAAGTATATTTTAATAATACTATTCATGTTTACGGTAATAGTACTGTAGTAATTGTATATTGGGTGTCTGCTACTATTCTTATTGAGTGTGATAGACAGTCTATGCTTATTGTTTAGTTGAAAGCAAAAAAGGAACATTTTTGCCATCTATAGTTTTACTAGATGGAAGAATGAAATATACATAGAAGCCTCCACTTCCTTTTGGGATTAGTACGGAGGGCGGAAGGAACGAATAAGAATCCTGAATTTCGCACTTTCTCTCACTCTCTTCTCTCTTTTTATGTTAATTTCATTTGGGTGGTCGTGCGAAGGCTTGAAGGTGTCGAAAGATAAACGACTAGTCAAGAAAATAGATAGAAACGGCGAGAAAGAATCATTGAATAGTTTCAAGGGATTTCACTAAATCCCCCTTGGATGGAGCCAATTCGACTGAAACCTGGCAAAGTCTACTTTATCTAATTGTAATGAAAAATTTATAATCGTCTGATTATATATTGGAAAGATGTAGTAAAAAAAACCTGTTACAGAGGGAAAGAGAGAGAGAGAGAGAGAGGAGGGAAAAGAGAGCTAAAGATGTAAGGAAAGCAAATTTCTGGTTGAACGCGTAAAAGGGATGTAATCTTTATTAACTAATCAAAAATAAAGCATTAATTTCGATAACGGTCAATACGAAAAACTAGAGGAAAATGACCATAAAGCAGTCTTAATTAAGTAATCGTTGCAATAATCAAATGCCATCTATGCACGCTTCTCTTATTAGGGAAGGGAAACACTAAAAGAGTTCGATAAGCTTGTAGCAAACTTTGTATAATTGATTAATCTTATACTTGCCTTTAATTTGGTACTTAAGGAGCCTGTAGAATGTTAGAGATTTCTCCAATCTATTTTACAAGGGAAACTTTTAAGGCCTGAATTTCAGTGGATTTCCTTCAAACTAGCTGCTCATTTCAAACTCACTGTTAATTGATTCGATATGAGATATAGGCCTCATTTATTTTTAGAATGTATATAGTATACAGAATAGGCGAGGAGATAATAGAAATTTCTTAAGTAAGAGGAAATGTTACATTATTTAAGCCACTGCACTTATATTGCAGGGAAGAAAACGAAGGGAAAAGTTTCATTTATTTTCTCCTCCTTTTTTCTCTTCATCTTCCTCCACTGACCCCTTTCTTCCATTCTGTGATTTGTTTTCATCCTCTCTTCCTTAAGATTTCATATCTCTAAATATTTTCCTACCTATATAAACTAATTCTATTAACTTTGTTCGTCAATGATTCGCCGCTTTTCCTTTCATCCTCTCTTTTGTCTGATAATAGACGTAATATTTTCAAGTTAGTTCCTTTGATTCCTTTTCCTTGATTAGATTATTTAGCATAGTCTTAAAAAGTCTGTCTTGTCTTTTTTTCCTTATTGGCCTACAATTAAAAATTTTATACAAGTAAGCGATTTCCACGCAGAAAACTAGGTCAGTTAATTATCAGGTATTTAATCTCCATGGTGAAGAGTTACTTATAGCACTTAATGCTTTATTAAGGCTATAATGTTCATAAATTCTAATATTGTCAAGTGTAGCAAGCTACCATTAAATATTTTGTTGAATCATCTACGGGAATGTTTGGACGTCTCCTAATTCGAGGAGAAGGAAGAGTAGAAAGAGAGAATGTTGACAGAGTTAACAAGATGAAATATTTTGTTCGCCTGCTATTTTAAGCACAAATAGTTTCTTGTTGTAAAAATATAACTATTGATTAAACGTCTATCTCACCTAGAATATCCGTTTTTCTTAAAGAAAATTATTCGTAGTTTAATGTAACTTTGAGCTAAAACGACATGGCATACGTTGAATAATATTTTGAAGTATTAACAATAGTAGTAACAGCTATGACGATAACAACTTGGGGGAAGAATAAACCCGTAGACGAGATGTTCTCACTTGTCTTTTCTTCTATAGATATATAGAGATTATGAGAGATTACATTTATTAAGGGAAGAGAATAACAATTAAAGAGAGAGAGAGGAAGAGGAATAGAAAAAGAAGAATAGAAACGTAAAATTAATATTTTGTTATGGGTATAAAAAAAAAAGAGAGAAAAGAAAAGTGACAAAACTATTAAAGAGTATAAACGCTTATTATGAATTTTGCGCAATATGCTAACACATACGGCAGATACAATTATAAACATGTATACTGTATGCAGTATATGGAGTAAGTGCGTGAATACAAACAACTGTTAATACTATACTGCATAGAAAGGGGAAATGTATATTCCGTGTATTGTGTATATTAGCGTGTTTTGAAGAAAAATCTTGGCTTTATTTGACAAATAAGAGTATAGCGTTAGCAGTTTATTGTTTCTTTTATTCTATTAATTTGATAAGATATTAACATTTCTATGATTAAATAACACAAGTAAAAATATTATGAATGTGGTAAAGTGTGTAAATATAAGTATAAATAGATATATATTACTATATATATACAGTATATACAGTTTATATTTATTTATGTACAATGATACTATACTAATTAATTAATTATTAATTAATTAAACATTATAATAAATATTATATATTTGTAAAATACACTTTACATGTTGTACTGTATTTACTGGACTTGTATATACTATTACATACAATGCATCTCCTCCTCTTTAGACGCATTCTTAAAAAGAACTTGTTAAGCTGTTCTTATGAAGATGAATAAAATTTGACTTTGTTTAATAATTCGTTAGTGGGAAGACTATCTCAAATTTAAAATAGAGGAAAAATCTGGTCTGTTTGAAATTCTAGAGACTGTATCATATTAAGACTATACAATTGTACCATATATACTGTATATACTGTATATATTTGCTTTATGTATGTCATAGGTCTTCAATTCGTAGAGTTTTTATTGAAAATCTTCTCGTACAGTAGACTATATTTATGGTTGAGACTGTGTAATTTCTTATTAAAATTAATACGAAAATTGACTATTATTCCTTTGAAACAGAGCACGAAGAAGAAATTGATCTCATGGTTCAGTTAGATGACAACGAACATATTGTCCACCTCTTCGAAAGAACGTTTGAAAACGCCGAAGATATAGCAATGGATGCTTATCTTATCCTTTTTTCTATTGCCGACAAAAGTTCATTTAAGAAAGCTGAAGAATTTTGCCCGAAAGCTTCTCATAAGACATCAGTTCTGGTTGGAACAAAGACCGATTTAGCGAGATCAAGAGTTGTGAAAGAAGAAAAGGGGAAAAAGTTGGCGTCAAAGAATAAGATAAAATATTTCGAAACATCGACAGTCCTACATCACAACGTTGATGAACTTTTGACTGGAGTGATAAAGCAAATTTTAAAGAACCACGAAAAGAGGTCACGTATAAAAATGCCAAAAGTGGCCAAGGGAATCTTTCAAAGTATGAGGCGAAGAACAAGCCAATATAGCGAAGATTTGTTTCGACGCTAGCTAAATCTTTTAAATGAATCAAACAAACAGAAACTTAAAAACAAATTGGACGATTTTCTTTTCTCTTTATTTTTATCTTTTGCTGAATTTTTTTCAAAACTTGAACAAAAATATTTTTTCGATATTAGTGAAAGCTTTCTTTATCTTCTCTTTACTTTTATCATATTCCTCTTCATCTTTCTTTCTCATGTTTCTTTCTTTTACTTTTCTATACAGTATTCTTTTTAATAGATAATCACCTCCAATCAATCCTCCTCGTTTGTATAAAACAAACAAATTTCCAAGCAACGCTCAATAGTCTTTTATTTAGTATTCATTTCAACTTTATTTTGGAAACTTATTTGTTAGAATACTGTACTTAGCAACCATTTTTAAATGGGAGGGAATAAGAGAGGCGGGGGTGAAAATGGAGGAAAGAGTCACAGAGAGAGAGAGAGAGAGACAGGTCATTTGCAAGGATTCTTACTTGCAGATGGCGCTTTAGGAGAACGATACTAATCGGTTTAACTATTTCTCATTTACTTTCTTTTATAGTTCCCAGTCAGTAAATGCGATCTTGAGTAATTATCAACTCTCTTCTTTTGCTTACTTTCAATAAAAGATTACCTTTTCGTTGGGCTGATTAATAAATTCACCTTATCAATTGGCCTATTTTCTTATAGAAAAGGAGTAAATAAAAGGTAAAAATAATGTTTTCTTATGGGAGAGAGAGAGAGAAAGAGAGAGAGAAATGCAATAAGGAAAAAGCAAAGAATTTATAACTAAATGTGGAATGAAAAATGAACAGAGCACGAAACAGGAAAAAAACAAAAAATTATTATTGATATCCCATATAATCAAACGCCTTAAAGTAGTCTTAATAGTTAATTAAAGTATATTATAGAGTAAGCGAAAGGGAAAATGTGGCAGAGAAACGAATGATGCGAAATGCTTTGCTCAATGTGTGAATAATCAAAAATAGTTGCTCCTTAAGAAAAGAGAAGAAGAGTGAAATATAGAATATTTTACAAGTCAATCAATTTGTATGTTATTATGAATATGGTGAAGTTTTTGAGGAGGAAGGACGAGATAGGTGAGGAAAACAATACAAAAAAAGGTAGAACAAGCGAAAGAAAAAGACGAAATGACGGAAAAGAGAATGAAAGGTGGATTGAAAGCTATTTTCTTATTAATTGCCTTTGACTATTTTTTATGTAAAGAGAAAAAGAGAGTGAGAAGGGAGAATGTCATTTCGACACGAATGTCTCTTTATACCCTCAACTGTTTTCATTTGCTCTATAAGAATGCAATTTCCTTAGTTTCCTTACACAGGCCTAAGGAGATAAGAAGCAACTTATACACAATCGCAACATTTAAGTAATGGGCTACCGGAAAAATAAAGCTCTATTGAAGGACAAAAGGGTCGTTGAACGAATGAGAGGAATTTAACAGACAAATAAAATAAATAAATAAATCATATATTGATTGCTAATTTAAGTTTAGCATGAATCTTTTCCTTAAAAGGTTAACCCTAACCCTAACTTTCTAAGAAAGACCTTATAGGCAGTACAAGCTACCTAACAGTTTAAAAATGATTATTCACTCTTCTTTGTTCATACGAAGCGGCTCTAATCGCAAGCTTTGATATTTAAGATCAAGAAATAAGGGTTGGGTGTTGTCGTTTTAAAAAATGCTGAATATGATAGAGAAAGGGGAACCTTCTTGTTCATTTAACAGACACATTTTAATCTGTAAAGATGCTATCAACGAATAATTTTTTTATTACATTACAACCATAACCTTCACTATCACCATCCTCCGTTAAATATCATCAATGCTCTCCTCTTTTCCCCTCTTGTATCCTTTGTAGTGTCCTTTTCTTGATTAATTCACTTAGACAAACCCCCGTTTACCTCTTACTGAAAATAGTACGTACAATGCAGTGCGTTATCATTTATTTTGCTAGTTTATCAGATAGGTGGCGCTTTCAGTTGAGGCTCGTTTTTAATTTTATCTCATTTTCTTGTCTTTCTCATTCAATAATTCATTTATTCGTCATTCTTTATTAGCGTATACTTTATTCTTATAAGACAAAATCCCTAAAGAGGAAAAAAGGAAAGCAAATGAGGAGGACGAAAGAAAATTGATGAAGAAAAAAGTTGCCATTTTAATTAAATTTAACAAGTACAAAGACAACGGAAATGAAGAAAAAGTGTAGTATAGTGGAAAATTGAAAGCGAGTTTATGGGTAAAGAGATAATCCTTAAGAAGGGACGGAGAAAGGAAAGTGAAAATAGAAGAAAGGAGCTAAAATTTCATTCAGTATTCCATCATTTTCTTAATAGGCAAAGATTTTTGAATATTTGAAGAATCAATAAATTTAAAAGAAGATGCTACGTTTCGCTATCCAAGCAGAAAGAGGCTCAAGTTGAAATTTTTATCAATAATCGTTTCATCAACAAAAGTTACATAGGATCCATTTAAAAAACACTATATATTTTATTAGGGATATAATATTTTCCTTAGGGACATTCATCATTGACTAATTGGTTATTGGGAGTATCTTTTCGGTTACTTTAAGCTAACCTTTCAGAATGATAGTTTTGTATTTTACAAAAGCAAAACTAAATAAATAAACTCTTTATTCTCAAATGAATAGTTTAACACGAAATTTTCCAATGGAACGATTCGTCAACGATGAATATAAATCTCTTATTTTTACTTTTACTACTGCAAAACAATACAAATATCATTATGCACTTACAATTGTTTTTTCCTTCCTATATCTCTTTACCTTCTCTATCTAGTTTACAATATTTGTATCTGTATTTCCTTGTTATTATTCAGATATGTCTCTCCTATTACTGTGATCATTGGTAAACTATGTAATCTTTCTTAGAGTATCATTCCAACGGCTATAAATGATTTACTCACCTCCTCTTTGCTTTTCTCTATTATCATTAAATATAGAGAAGGGGAAAGTAAGTTTTTATAGAGAGAGAGGAGGGAAGGGGACGAGAGGAAGGGTTACGGAGTGGCAGAGCTTTTAATTATAACCAATTTTATTAACAATCTGTATTAATGTTTGTATACGAATATAAGAATACTCGGAATTCGAATACAGGTATTTTTAGAATCGCATGTACAGCCATGGGAGACGGTTTCAGATGATAGTATTACAATGGTAGATGTACTTATCACATAGAGTGCGAAAAAGAAGGCTTATAATTAAGAATAAATAATGCAGAGACCGTTTTTCCTTAGAATAAAATTAGAGAAAAAAGTCGAAAAAGTATTCTTAACACTAGATCAGGAGTAATAGCTATTACTTCGATATTCGGGAAGGTAAAAATAGAAGAGTACTTGATATTTATGTAATAGGATAAATCGTATAGAAGGAGATAAGACATAAGTTGCCTAAGAGCTCATCCTATAGCAATAATAGTAATTATAAAATATTGAAATTTTTCTTATATTAAAAATGATTACAATAGACTGCATAGACAATAGAATTACATAAAATAACGTTGAAAAATATATAGTGGAGGGAGATCTTCTGGTTTAATTGGCCCAATAGTCATTAATCTTGAACCTGGACGAGAAATTGCGTATTAACATCCCATATAACTTCGTTAGGTTGGAATAACATTGCTCACTGCTCTATAGTTGACATATCAGTTATAAATATTTGTTAAGTAAAAGAAAATATTGGATGTTTCTTTACTTTCCAAATTTATAGTATTGGATCTGGAACGAACGAGGGGAACAGTTACAAAAGAATCTCCTTCCAACAGTCTATACTCTACCGGTAAAAATCTATCTCCCTCCCCCTTCCTCCCCCATTGTAGGCATGTTTTTGGTAACGTTATACTACGCATAGTTCTTAACTCTTCGTGTATTCACACAAACTTTATACGGTGAAAAAAAAAGGAATTACGCAAGTGTCAGTCCAAGGAGAAATATTCTAATTTACCGAATGACACCTTAATAATTAATAAAAGGCCTCTCTAGGTCAAACTGAAACGAACTATTCTAAAAAAACATTTAGTTCCTTTTCAATGAAGATACAAATTGAAAAAATCATTAAAAGAAGCAAAACTACATGAATACTTTTTGAAGAGAAAGAAAAGCAGAGAAAAAAGGGGAAAGAAAGAAAAACAGGAAAAATCATATACACAGTATACAAGGCCATTTGTTTAGAATATAATGTTTTCGTTTATTTCCTCTGTAGGTTACATACCAGAAAATAAATGTATTTACCCTGCGCTATGTCCAAAATTGCGTTTACTCACATAGTTGATGTATACAGTATACCATACACTTTGTATATATTGTACATACTATATCCACTATTAGTATGTTTGCATAAAGGCTGATACAATTTCGTGAGATCATTGCATTGATGATATACGTACAATTATATTACATTAGTTAATCCTCATTTTCTCAACACATCTTCCCTTCATCAACCTCGCTAATTTACACTCGGTTTCTCGATAACGAATCGTTGGACGAAACTTTTCTCTATGTTTTTTCTTTGCCCATCTCTTTCTCTCTCTCTCTCCTATCTACAATTTTCATACATTCGCTCATACAAAATCACTTCCTTTATCCACCTCTGGTGAAGGAAGTTTACTCTAGTCCTCTTAATAATTCGATTGGATTATCTCTGAATCGAGTTGACTAAATAAATACTTTTAGTAATACAATCGCTTGTCGCTAGAAACAGCAGAGATAAGGGACGGAAGCGGACAATAAAGCAATATTTATATTGACTAAAAGTTAGAAGAGAGAGAAAAGTTGCTTCTCGTTAGGTAGAATGGTTATCTAATTGATCAATGTCAGAGAATGCTATTTCTTAAACATTCCTAGCGAATGGATGTATAGCTATGCTGATTAAATCAACAGTCTCTTTTTCTAATTGGATTCATACAGCTCGGAAATACACATTGTGCAATTAGCATAAAGAGCCAAATTGAAAGAGATAATCGAAATGATTAAATAAAGTTGTACGTGTTATGAAAAACTTTTAAAGTAGCCTTAGTAGTCTCTAAAGGGAAAGAGAAGACAAGGAAGAGAGAGAGAGAGAGAAAGATAATTGAGATACGAAGCAAAATGTGAAAAGCGTGGGTTCAGTTTATCCACAGTATAGCTTTAAAAGGTACACCAATAAGTTTTACATACAATATATACTAAATACATTTTATATTTATGCATAATAGATTTAAACATTAGAGTATCTGTTGTAAAGAAATATGGGTAGATTTTTATTAAGTTATCTCCCATATTAAATACTGATAATTGAATAAACACAATTCGACATAGGTTAGTTTCTTTTAAGCGTCGCATATGGAGAGTATATGAATTTATATAATCGCTACCAAAGTTGCGCATATTTTATTGACTTGCCGCATTCGTTTCTCATTATTCCCTCGAATGGCGGCCACACTACTCTTTCTACTGTCACTGAACTTGGCGTAAGTGTTTCTTTCTTCTTTTCTTCATTTTTCCATTCTCTCTTACATTTTGTTTATTATTTATTTCAACAATCATCTTTCCTCTCTTTCATTTCTCTGTGGCCAGTAGGATATTCTACGTCAACATAAATACACCAAGTTCGTTTATAGTAGTGTAAAACATCTCATGCTATCTGTCTCTCTATCTTCTTTATTCATTCCTCCCTTTCAGCTTCGTTTCATTTACTAATTTTCACCTTTATCGCCCCTGACTAAGAAGCCAAGTAGTATTGCCGGAAGGAAATCTGACAAATTTCGATTTACTTTTAGGGTCACAAGTTGTAAAAATACCACAGAAATGCATAGAATAGTAACTGATCTCCTGGCGGAAAATAAATATGACGGAGAAGTTCGACCAAATATCGAAACTGGACAACCAGTAGTGTGCTTAGTAAACTTTCGGATAAATTCTATGTCAGCTCTGAGAGAAACGTCAATGGTTAGTATGAATTAAAATTATTGATTTTTAAAAGTAGAGATAAAGTAAAGGAAAGATATAAGGAGAAGGAGAAGGAGAGGAAGAAGGAATAGGGCAGAGAGAGAGAGGAGAAAACAGGAATGAAAGGCAAAAATATTTTTTCCTTCTACGATAAATGAATAGGGGAAGCTAACAAAAAGAAAATTTGATTGTTGTTGTAAATTATAACAATTAACATTGAAGGGAAAACAACAGTTGATAATTGATTCAGTATTGAAATCGTTCAAGTCCTAAAGTGTTAATAGTAAACATTGTAAACATTCGTCACGAAAGTAGCATTGTTGGACTATTTAAAAGAAAATCTAAGCTTAAAGAAATGCAGAATGAAAGAATTTTTAACTTTTAAAGCTCACTTTCTTTATATCTCTATTATTCTAAAGTGTTTAATCTCTTTTAAATATTTCCTCCCTAGTTTTAATAATTTAATAATAATCGACATTTGAAAGCCAAACATTTCAACAAACAAAACGATTACTCGATTACTTAAACGTCTCTTTATATTACATCAAGTTAAACGAAACCAAATAGGTTTTATATATGCTTAGTATATGTATTTAGTCTTACGATTAGAATTTGAATATTAGCTTGAAAGAGATAGGTCTGGATAGGCAGAGAGAGAGAGAGAGAGAGAGAGAGAGAAAGAAAGATATGAAAATAGGAAAGAAAAAACCCTATTTAGCAATTTACAATAATTGATGGCGTGTTAAAAAAATGCAATTGATTGTGACAATTGATAGTTTTTACCTCTCTTCTTGATGATAATTAGAGATGGGAAAAAAGGAAAAGGGTGGTTAATTGCCGAGTTATTACTAGAAAGGCAATTGATAGAAAAAAAATAGAGAAATAAAGAGAAAATCAAAGAAATATCAAGACTACTTTTTAGGTACTTTATAAACTATTAATAAAGAGGAAATTGAAAAGATTCTACCCTTTCCAACTTGGTTAATGCTTTATCAATCGTTCTTCAGTAAACAAGATTGCTTACCTACGGAACTTTTGTGTTGATAAATCGAGGATAGGGGACTGTATATAGTTTGCATAAGAGCGACCTCAAGAGTAGACATAGGATTAGACGTATTTAAAGAAAAAATACTAAATAATTACAGTTACATTACATTTGTAACTGTTAGATCTACCGAATTTATTCCATTTATCCTTCTCTTTATGCATATAAATTTATATATATATATATTTACTGTATATCTAAATATAAATATATTTTTATTCTATCTCTTTCTATCTGTCTATTTATCTATCTATCTATCTATCTATCAACTATCTGTATGAAAAAAATACTCTCCCTCAGGAGTACGATATGAACATCTACCTCCGTTTAACTTGGAATGATCCTCGTCTATCATTCTCTCATATGAAGGAATACGAGAATGAAACGTATACTCTCTCGCACAAACAATTTGAAAAATTGTGGATCCCTGATGTTTTCATTAAAAATGAAAAAGCTGGTCGTTTGCATAATATGATTGTACCGAACCGTTTAATGCGTCTCTTCGCAAATGGCGATATTCTCTTTAGCCAGAGACTAAGTTTATCCCTGGCTTGCGTATTAGACCTGGTTAAATTTCCCTTGGATAATCAAACGTGCAAAGTCACTTTTGCTAGCTGTAAGTCTAGTTAATAATTTCTCTCACTTTTTTTTAGTTTTGTCGTTTCTTTCTTCAATCCAGTTACTGATTAGTCTTTAAAGGCTGATTTTTATTAAGTTATCCAATTTCAGATGGTCATACGACCGATGATCTGGAAATAATATGGGACTATACTAGATGGCCAACTACAATATCGCCATCTTTAGACGTTCCCGAATTCAAGTTAATTGACGTTACCAACCATAATTGCATTTCTAAAACTTCAACCGGCAACTTTTCGTGTTTGGAGGCGATTTTATACTTTCAGAGAAAGATGGAATATTATCTTATACAAGTCTATTTGCCGAGTAGTTTGGTTGTTGTTTTGTCGTGGTTGTCGTTTTGGATTGATATAGAAGCGGTACCTGCACGGATATCCTTAGGTCTTTTAACCGTTCTAACAATGAGCACTCAGAATTCGGATTTCGCTTCTCAAATGCCTCGATTGTCTTACGTAAAAGCGGTGGACGTATGGATGGTCATGTGCTTGGTTTTCGTATTCGGAGCGTTACTTGAATACGCTCTGGTCAATATTTTGGCTAGGAAACAAAAGCCTAAACAGGATAAATTTCTATCGGCGCTCGTTAAGCAGGCGACGGTAAGATCTCATTTCTAGTTATTTCATTAACAGATAATAAACTGCAGTTGATCTTTTCAAGTTGACTGGTCTGCAAATCTCTGACAAACAAGTACCAGTCAGAAGGCAAGCGAGATTAGGCAATTCGAATAAAATTGAAGAAGAGACCGAAATCTTTAAAGAGAATTGCGCGGATGACGATAAGGAAAAGAGTAACGTAACTGAAAAATTGAACAGAAATAGAGCTCAATTCGTGGATAAATTTAGCCGATATGCCTTTCCTCTATCTTTCGGCCTATTTAACCTCTTCTATTGGATCTATTACAGTTATATTTAACACTTGTATAAAGCAATATTAATAATAATATAAATAAAACTATTAATAAAATTATAATAATAATATTATTAATATGAAAGAGACGAAGAAGAAGAAACATGGAAAAAGAAGAAGGAGGAGAAGAAGAAGAAGCCGAGCAAGAAGAAGAAGAAGAAGAAGAAGAAGAAGAAGAAGAAGAAGAAGAAGAAGAAGAAGAAGAAGAAGGATAAAGAAAGAGTAAAGCAGAAATAATCTGAAAAAGACGTAAAATATGCAAAAAAAAGCTATTGTCTTTTGCAGTTGTAGACTGTGACCATCCTAATAGAAAGTAATATTTTCCTCAGTGTCTTTGATTCACTTAGTCCGTTAAATAAATTCATTCGAAATTTTATCAAATGAACTTGGAATAAGCGTCAGATGGCACTAGCTGGCAGTTGGACTGCCTAACTGTAGGAAAATAGAGGTTGAGACATCTATATTTAATGGCAAACATAAATTGTTGAAAAGACTTTTGATTTTGTTTGTATTTCTTTTATACTTGAGAGAAAGAAGGAACAAAGTAAAATAAAATTTAAGCCTAATATTAGAAGCGTTTCGTCTACACCCCAAACCAAACAGTGGTTAGTAATTGACTTACAAAACGCTCCTTTGAAAAAAGAATGCCAGTTCGACTATAAATGATTCAATACTGTCGATTTTTTTACTTACTCTTTCCCATGTTCGATTTACGGAATATTTTAGCTTTTGCAAATTTCTATTGCTAGAAATAAATTACTACCTAAACTTTATATCGATTATACATAGGCCTTGAAAACACTTTTGCAGTACATATTAATCGACTGTCAACTGCAGTTGCTATGTAGCGAATAATTTACTATAATCGACTCGACGCACTTATTATAAACACCTATATGTATATAGACGACGTGTATATATGTATGTATGTATGTTTGTATACATGTTTGTAAATTTGTGCATAGGTAGATCTGTTTATATACAAGTTTTTTTTAACGTACAATGCATTAGATGTAGGCCAATAAATATCTAATAATAGCAAGGATTATGTCATACATATAACAATCAATACTATAATGCATAAAATATGATTTAAAATAAAATATAGAAAGGTATGGAAACATGATTAGTCCTGCATGCATATATAAACAAACAGACATACAGACACACTTATATACTTCACAAGCAGACAGGCATTTATATATATATATATATATATTTATATATACAGCATATATTTGATCACATACTGTACATAGCCTGAACGTATTTTTATTAAGAATGATTAAGTGTATTGAATTTGTAGAGTATTTGTAGTAGTAAAGAAAATATGATAGAAAAGGATAGCAAGAATTTCTTTACTACTTGTACGAAGGACACTTAGCAGGAAAAATTAGAACGAATAAAAAATGTTAAGTATAAAACAGTTGATAGAATTTTGTATGCAGATACATAGGCACAGAAATCTTGCAAGGGAAAAGTAGAACATTGTAAATTTGTCCTATAGATATTGGCGCCTGTAGCCAATACAAACATCATTTATTATTTATTAAACAAAATACACGTGTTCATTTATTAGTAAACAATAAACTTCATTCTAATAGGTAAAACTTGGGGAAAATGCTTAAAAAATAATCATCGTATAATCCCAAGCATATTTCATTCATTCTCTTTCTCTTTCTCTCTCTCTCTCTCTCTCTCTCTCTCTCTTTCTCTCTCTCTCTCTTATGATTGATTGAAATATGTTTGGGCCAGGAGAGAGAGAGAGGTTTGCTTCTCATATCCAGACACATATCTCACACGAAAGTCTAAATATTTTTTATTATTCATGAATGTATGTCTTATTTTCTATTCTACAATTACATTCAAGTGTATAGATTGAAAACGTCTTTGTATCATGATACATCAAGTATATACCCAATATAACCTAAATATATTGGTTTATACAAAATAATAACATATATAGTAATATATAAATATATATTTATATTTATATATATAATTGAATATAATAAAATATATAAATATAGCCACAAAAGAAAAGGAATGTGACATTTAGGCCTAATTCCTGTTCTGTGCAACGCTTTGAAATATAGTACAGATTGGTGTGGTCTTTCTTAATATAGAGTAGAAGAATTAACTGCGCAATATTATTTAACGAATGAGACAAATTGTTCAAGGTTATTCATTTAAAAATATGGAAATACTAATAGGTTTGAAGATGGATGAAAATGATATGAATAAAAACTGACTAAAATCAGAAATCATAATAATAACTAACATTACGGCAGAAAAGGGATGGAAGAAAGAGAGAATTTTAAGGGGAATAGGGCGTATCATAGGTATATATATATATATACAGTATATATATAATTACTATACATAATGCCTATACATGTATGAATGGAGGTACATACGCTCACGCCTGACAGAGAGAAAGGAAATCCAGTAACCTAGGCTAAACATCCGGTAAAAATTTTCCTTTCAATATAGCGGCTAGGTCAATCAACTGTAATTAAGGCAACAGATCCTTTCACGCTGTTGTTTGTAAATTATCGGCTATTAACTAAGATGATTTATATTCATATGAGTTATTCCCTCTATTATTTTTATTTATTTGTTCTTTTATGCTACCGCACCTAATAGTATAAAATCTTTGGCGTCATAATGTTGAAATATCGAAGCGTCGAAAGGTAGATTAAGGCTTCGATCTAGTGTGCCCGCGGTTTTTTCCTTTCTTTATTAGATGTTTCCTTCATTTCTTCATTCTTCCTTCCTATCTGCTCTCTGCTCTCGGCTAATGAGCTGATCGGGGGCGTCTAGTCAATTTAAAAGCTATTAAGAATGAGAAGAAATCGTTTGTTGAGAGGAATCAATGAATTAGAGAGGAAAAGTTGCCGATGAAAATAGAGTAAGATAGGATAAGCTGTTAAGCCTCAAGAAGTTATAATGAAAGAAAGCAAAGATAACTCAATAGCTAGTTAGGCGATGAGGAGACTTTTTCAGGCTGGTGCTGTCACCTAATCTGTCTTAATCAACCAGTCTCTTACCCATCTTTTAATTTATTCCGATAAACGTGATTTCTTAATAAAAGGCAAATAAGGTTTTCACGGAAATCAGATTGACTTGACCAATTAATCTCCTGTTGAAATTCTTAGCACTTTGCTCGCATTGTGAAACGGTCAAAGTCGCAGCAAAGCTAATTAACTGAAGTCTATAAATAGATAGGAAAAGATCCAAGATAGGTACATTCTTTTCTACATTAGATTTAAAATTGCAAGAATCTTCTTTAATAGTTTCGATGACACCACCGCTCTTTATCAACTGCAATTTTACAGCTTTCAATTAGCTCAAAAAATGACATTTTACTCGTTTCTCACCTATCCCGTATCACGTATTGAATTCTGTTCTCTTCCTTTTTCGCATTTTTATGTGTTATTCTTTTCCTCTATCAAATTTTTCATTGTTTCTCTTATCTGGGCTGCTCCTATATGTGAATTTTCTTCTTCTTCTTCTTTTGCGTAATCTCTTTCTTCATAGAGTGAACTACTTTAATATTCCTTGTGATTTATTATCTAGGATTCTGTGGGGTTTCTTCATCATCTTCATCCTCATCGTTAATCAAACGATCCTTAAGATGTTGATTAAAAGGTGTTCGAAGAAGGATATATTCGTTATAAGAACGGATAAAAATTATATAGTTAATAGTGTTTTATATGTCTCTTTTAGATTGTAAGTGTACCTATGTAAAAATATCATTTTTGCTCCAAGAAACTACTCTCTTTCTATCAGTTTTTTCCCTTTATATGCAATATATTTATCTCCAAAAAAGAAAAGGAAAAGGGAAAAACAAAAAAGAGACTACAGTTGGATATGCTACTAAATCACGATTACTGTCGAATTACCGTCTAATTTAACAGTACTAAAACTAAAAATTTAACATCCAAAAAGAAAGAAGAATAGCTCTTTCTCTCTCTCTCTCTCTCTCTCTCTCTCTTTCTGTTGATATATTTTCATAAAAGTAAAAAAAAGTAGTGAAAACTTTTAAAAGCAAAAACAAAGTGTTTTTCGTAGATGAAGAAGAAATTATAACGAATACTTGACATTCTAATGTTGGTCGGTAAAAAAAAATACACTTTTTCTCTCCTTTCCTTCCCTCTCTCTCTCTCTCTTTCTCTAACTGAAAAGATTGATAAGTGAGATATCCGCAGAGAGGAATCTTCGCAAAAATATTAAATTACAAAACAAGGGTTAAAACTGCTAGTAATTAATTTTAATACCTATCAAGACTTTTACTTTCTTTTCCTTTATCATTTTCGCCCCCCTTAACTCCCTCCACCCTCCTTCTTTTTTTCTTTCTCTCTCTCTCGCTCTTTCTCTTCTTCGTTTGCAATTACGATTTTCTCAAGTTTCTCCTTTCAAGAAAAACTTTGCAAGATATTTCTTTTCCTCCCCCATTAAATTTCATACTACATATTGTTTCGATTCATATCCACTTACCTTAAGAAAGATAGTTAAGAGTGTTAAAAGATAAATTAAGGGATAGAAATAATAAGAGATTAATATGAAAATAAAAGAAATAAAGATAAAGAGAAGAGAAGGGAAGGAAAGGAGGACAGGAGGGAGGAAGGGAAGTGGGAAGGAAGAAAGAAAGACAAATAGAGATAAACAAAAGTTCAGAAAGAGAAAGTAATGGAAATAATCTCTTTTATAGAAATGAATGAAAATCTACAAATTACATTTCTGGAAAAGGCTTAGAGAGATAGGTGTAACTAGGTAAAAAAAATACACCTAATTTGGACATGTGTAGACGAGCCGTGAAATTTTCTTTATGTTACTTTGCAGAATGAAAGAAGTCTAGTTGTAGAGTTCAAGGTTAGAGAATGCGGAACGCAGAAGAATTTCTAATCGTGTACAGCTGTCTTACTTCCTAGAGTTAATTTTTCCGCTTTCATGCAGAAAAAAATTAATCTAATGTAGGCCAGCATGAAGGGTAGATAGATAGGTCGGTAGGTAATAGCTAGATAGAAAGATAGATAGGCTGGCAGGCTGGCAGGGAGATGAATAGAACGGGGAAGGACCTTTACAAGGCGGTTAAACATTATGAAAAAATCGTAATAAATAGCGCTAAACCAATAATCCTATAAAAACATATCGAGCGAAATGAAATATACAAATGAAGAAATTGCGCAATTAACCACCAATTGGACTAATTAGAGACTATTTTAAATAAAAGAAAAATACAATACACGGGCTTATGTTATTATAAACAGTATAGTAAAAGTATGAAGTGTATGCATCATATTTGCAGTATGTACAGTGTGCGTATGTGCATTAAATTAATGAGCAGAGTTTTAAAGGCCTATGCTTATAATTTAAAATTTTTTATTTCCTTAATAGAAACTTTTACTACAAAGTTTTAATTTAGGGATCAATGTCAATGTTATATGATTAATAGTTATTTAATATGCCAGTTATATACAAAACATAGTGAATATAGTTTGAAAATTGGTCTTTATATAATATTTATTTGTCATCCTTTTATAAAACTTTTCCCAGTAATGATATATCTCAAAGGCTTTCATTTCGTCAAGAATCAACCAAGTAGATTGGCTGAATTAATAGCTGGATTATCTTGCCTCCCCGCTTTATATTAATGCTTCAATCTGAGAAGGGAAACTTGGCTCCTCTTTACCATTTTATATAGTATATACAGTA